GCTTCGTGAGTTGGATCATCCAAATATCGTGAAATTGCTTGGAGTTTGCATCCAGGTTAGCGTACAAAAGTAAAAGAATAACTTATAAGTTCCTAGCAAAGGGTTTAGGATAATCGCTTATATCTCCTCTTCGAATTTGTCATGATGGATATACGAAAATACCTCGATTTACTCCCAGATGAGAGACATCTTCCACCATCTATTGTCAAACGCATAGCATTTCAAGTTAGAAATAAGTTAAACAATATTTTTAGTAATAAACTGTCTATCTTTAGACTTGTCAAGCAACATGCTTTATGCATCAAAGGCGAGTTGTTCACCGTGATTTGAAACCACAAAACTTACTCATAGACGAAAATGGAGTTATTAAAATCGCCGATTTTGGACTATCACGATCGATAAACGTTCCAGTACGCGTTTACACTCACGAGGTCTGGCTTATCTTGAATGATTAAATGAAAGAAGGCCTTGAGACTCAGGCAATTCAGGTGGTAACCCTATGGTATCGAGCTCCGGAGATTCTACTTGGTGCTAACAGATATGCTGCTGCCATCGATTCATGGGCGATTGGATGCATTTTAGCAGAAATTACTCTCAAAAAACCGCTTTTTATGGGCGATTCTGAAATTGATCAGCTATTCCAAACTTTCAGGTGATTAGCAAGCAAATTCACTCAAGTCATGGATGATTTGGTTTTTGCAGACTTCTTGGTACACCAGGAGAGAAAATGTGGCAGGGTGTTTCGTCCTTACCACAGTTCAAGTTAAATTTCCCTAAATGGAAAGTAAATCGACTAGCTGAGCTGTTACGACCACATGCTGAGAGCCGACTGATTAACCTGATTCAAGCAAGTCCCATTTGTGCGTACATTTTTAATGATAATTGATTAAAACTTAGGCAATGTTGCGTTACGATCCATCTCAACGTATCTCCATGCGAGGTGCCTTATACCATCCCTATTTTTACGATGTAAGAAGTTCTTGGAACAGTTTTGACACAAATCGATCTTACGATTTACAGATGGACACTAGCACTGTGCCTGCAGGGAACTATAGAGGAGAGCTGTTTCTCGGCTAAGAATTGCCTCAAATAGTCGCATAGATTTATAAAACGAGTATATATCCACAGCTAATTTTCATATTTCCATAAATGTTCGGATGTATCTTTTAGTAATTTCAAGAACATCAAACATTTCATAAATATCAATTAAAAGCAAAATGACAAAAACAACAAGTCGAGGGATAAAAGAAGTAGCATTTA